AAGTACAGATACATAAAAATTCTACTTAAGTACAGTAACAAAGTATTTGTACTTGGTGACTTTACTCTGGGCCCAAGCTTGGGGTTTATCTGGGCAGGAGTCAGAACCTGGCTGATGATGTCATCAGCTGAAATGTTTCTTTCTCTTCAGTCTGATGCTGGCTCCACAAAAGCAACTCTCTTTTATTAAATATAATTTTTAGTTTTTGTATTTTCATTTTAGCACCTGGTCTGCTTCTTTTAATTTAGCAACGCAGTTTCAGCTACTTCATTTCTGTTTATTTTTCCTGTTTGCTTTAATCGTCCAGTAGGTGGCAGTAAAGCGCCTCTCAGCGGGCTGTTCATGTTACGATAATACTGACAGAAGAAGAAGAAATATAAACAGGAAGTTGTTGTCACCTCCGCTTTCTGTCAGGAGATAGAATTAATAAAATATACATTTCTAGTTGTCTTCAAGAGACGCGGTGATTCGGTGTAAACCCGGCCGGTACCGGCACCATGGCGGCGGTGGACGTGGAGGATGAGAGCATCCTGGTGTCCGTGTTCCGGAACAGTTTCCCGGACAGCTGGAGGGAGCAGCCGGACCTGGCGGCCTACCTGTCCGAGCTCAGCTCCTTCGGGGTGGACAAACTGGGCCGGGAGCCCGAGCGGCTGGCCGAGGAGCGGGCCCACATCCTGCAGCAGACCCGGGAGCTGGCCTTCTCCAACTACCAGACCTTCATCCGAACCGCCGAGTGCACCGAGCACATCTACCGGGACTTCGGCCGGGTGGAGAGCAGCGTGTCCCGGCTGCTGGACAAGCTGCCGCTGTTCGGAGAGAAGTGCAGGTGGGTGGATGGACCCGAACCGAACCAGGCTTYTGATTCGGGAAATGACACTAAATATTCACTAGCTTGAACGTATTTAATCTGCTTTAGCTCAAAAACCACGACACCTAGATTATTCTAATCTGATAGTAGAATATTTAAAAACAAGTTTGGGTTTTTGTGAAACCTCTTTTTAATCTGTGAAACTTCAATTAACGACGTTTTCATCACTTTTTTTTAATGCATCTGGACCACACTAGACTGGGTCCAGCTCCAAAACCACAACATTTAGACTCTTCAAATCTGGACTAGATTATTCTAATCTGATAGAATATTTAAAAACAAGTTTGGGTTTTTGTGAAACTTCAATTAACGACGTTTTCATCACTTTTTTTTAATGCATCTGGACCACACTAGACTGGGTCCAGCTCCAAAACCACAACATTTAGACTCTTCAAATCTGGACTAGATTATTCTAATCTGATAGAATATTTAAAAACAAGTTTGGGATTTGTGAAAGGGGTGGGCAACCCTGGTCCTCGAGGGCCGCAAATGCAAAAAAAGAAAAATGTAAATTATCTATCTATCTATCTATCTATCTATCTATCTATCTATCTATCTATCTATCTATCTATCTATCTAT